AGAGAAAGGAAGGGAGAGAAAAGAAAGCACATGCCAGGGCTCTACCCCAATCATTGAGTGATAGTCTCCCGGGATTGTCCTAGGCAGGTATATTTTTAACTCCCCACAGGTGATTCTAACAAGCATACCTGCTTAAGAACATGTGGGTTAGAGAAGTGAAGTGATTATTAGGGAGAAAGTGGTGCTAAAGACGGATGGACACCCCAAAGGAAAGATTCATTTTTGGTCTTTAAATTTTCTGAAGTTTTCTATCCTCTTTCCTGTGTGAGAGTTTGGGAAATTTGGTGTCTTGATTGTGGCTCAAGTAATATGCACATTTCAGGGCCATTGAAGGCCTGGTCTCTCCACAGCCCAATTTTCTTTCAACAGACACATAATGAGGCTTGAACTACTGTCTTAAGAGTCCCTTGCTAAGCTGGAGAAAAGAATGCTTTACTCATTTCAGTGGTCTTCTATTGATGATAAATGAATCATTCAGTAAATGTTTCAGTAACTTTTTTTCATTCAATAACTTTTTTTAATAAAATTTTTTCTTACATTTGAAATTGATTTGCTTTGATTTACTTTTGTTCAAAAACAGTTCTCTGTCCTGTTTCCCCAACCTGAAGATTGATAAGGGATTTTTGGCAGCCTCCATTAACCCCAAGGGGTGGGCTGATGTGATAGTGGCAGGAACCTCTGGTGTGGGGACACATAGGATGTTGATGACAAGGCACCGGGGTCATCTTCTTTCCCTTTACCCTAGCTGCAGACCCCCTCAGCATTCAGCCCAAACCTTGCTCCCTTTTTGCCCCCACACTCCTGCCAGGCTGAACACTGCCTTGTCCCTCCCACTGAGCAGGGAACCCTATACGGGGCTGGATCCCAGGACCCTGGGATCATGACCCGAACTGAAGGCAGACACTTAACCGACTGAATCACCCAGGTGCCGAGGACCTCCCTTGCTCCCAGGCCTTTGATCATGCTATTTCTTCTAGAAGCACCCTCCCCACCACATTGTTTTTTGTTTTTTTTTTAAATTTTACGGCTCTTGGAAGTTCAATTCAAATGCTACTTTTTTCACTCTTCTCCAGATACCTCTACTCAACGCAGGACGGTCTCTGTCTCTCTCTAAAACCATCTTCAAAGTCTTCTGCCTTAGTAGTAACCCTGCCCTGACATTGAGCTCCCATTATGCTAAATTCTAGACTACATGGTTTTGTTTTTACCTTCATCTTGGGCAACCAAAAGATGGGATAGGGTTAATGGGGAAAAAAGTTTGGAATGGGGAACCAAAACACAAATACAGCAAAGCGCAAAGGGAAGTAGAGGTTTTTTGCAGAAGAAACTTGGGAATGATCATGAAAGCTGAAGAAAAGGACGCCTGGGGCCCCTGAAGAGTTGCAGACAGCGAGAGTCAGCAACACCCAGCCACGAAAACCCACTGTCTTGGACATTAAGAAGGATGCTGTGGGGAGTGGGGTTCCTCTCTTTGTATGTGACATCCTCACTGCACAAAATGATTCTTTTTTTTTT